CACTAGAATGATCTGTAGCATAGAGCAAGTGGCTTGGCTTCCCTGGCTCTTATTATCTGAATCTGGTAGTTGTATTCAATGGCTGCCCTTACATTTAAGGATTCTTTTACTATAAGCTCTCTTTCAATTAGATAAAAAAACATCCATCAAAGTGACTCAAAGAAGAGATTTTGGTAAGTTGAGGCTGCTGGATTCATAATGACTAAGCTGCTATTTATTGACTAATTACTGGTAACTTTATCTCTTCTGTTTTCTAAAGCATACCCCTAAATAGCTTTTTAAATGCCTGTTTTCTTATTTCCATTTTTGCCGTTTAGTAAGGCATTTAGATTCCTATGTAAAGGAAATGTCTTTCCCTTTTCTCCAAAGAGGATGCTTCTGTCCCACTGTGATCCTGGTGTGGACTTTGAGTTGCTCTTTTTTCAGTGCTGGGGATGGGTTTGCACTTGTCCAACCACACCATTACCAGTTCCTTTGCATGTCTAATGACACTCATTGGTGAGAGAGCTGACTCTGGTGCTGTAGTGAGGACTGGCCTCTTGAAGAGTAGATGATATTATGGTCATTAGCTCTTGCAGCAGACAATGCTTTGTAGCTTTCTTAGAACATCCAAAGGTATCTGGACCAGATACCAAATCAACTTTTAAGATAGCCACTAGTAGAGTAGTATTGATGATTGCCATGGTCAGAAAGTTACCTAATTTTTATACTAATTACTTACTTAATTACTTAATGGTAAAATTTTAGAGTAATTTTTTTTTCACTTTACAATGTCATCATAAAAACATTCAGTGGCTGGTCTGCTGGTTTTAGAGTACTTAGTCAGTCCATAGACATTTATTAAGCACCTACTGTGTGCCAGTGTAAGTGCTGAGAAAAAGAGATACAAAAAATACAAAAGACATTCCCTGACATCAAAGAGCTCATAGTGGATTCAACCATGGAAAGATAATATGCAAATTATATACAGATGACATATAGAGAGGATAATTTGGAAATAATCAGAAAGAGGAAGACACCAAAATTAAGGAGGATTGAGAAAAGGTTCCTGTAGGTGGGATTTTATTTGGGACTTGAAGGATGCAACAGAAACCAGGGAAAGTTAGGTGGCATGGTAGATAGAGCGCTGGTCTTGAATCAAGAAGACTTATCTTCATGAGTTCAAATCTGGCCTCAGATACTTATAAGATGTGTGAGCCTGGACAAGTCACTTAACCCTGTTAGCTTCAATCTCCTCATCTCTAAAATGAGCTGGAGAAGGAAACAGCAAACCATTCCAGTTTCTTTGCCAAGAATATCCCAAAGAATTGGCCATGACTGAAAAACAACTGAACAATAGCAGAAGCCAGGAGGCAGAGATGAAGGGGGACAACATTTTAGGCATGAGGGACAGTCACTGAAAATGCCCAGAATCAGGAGATTTCTTATTTAAGGAATGCAAGGAGGACAGTGTCACATATTTATTTATTAATATTATTCATAAAGTACGTTGTTAATACTTCTGAATCCAAACCTTACTTTAAGGCCCAGCTTCTCCTTGAACCCTTCCCTGACCAGACAAGCCCAAAATGATCTCTTCTTCTTCTGAACTCCCAGAGAATTCATTGTATATAACACCCATATCAACATTCATCATATACTGCATTGTAGTATTGTATTATTGTATTATTCACACATTTATATATTTCTTATTTCCATAATTAGATTTAAAAAATACCAGAGAACAAGTACTATCTGTCCTACTACTATCACACATGTTTTATACCCAAGGTTATCCTTTATTGTGCTGAGGCAATCTTTTCAAGAAATAGAACTAGGAAGATATCCGAAACCCACAGTTCAAAGAAACACAAAATCTAGGAGTTTGGAGGAAGCTCAGAGGTCATCTAGTGTAACCCATACCTAACCAAGAATCTTCTCTACATCACTGACAGACGGCTATCTGACCTCTGTGGGAACACCCAAAGGGAAAGTCACTATGTCCCAGGATAGTTCATTCTACTTTTGGGTAGTTCTAATTCTTAGAAAGTTTTTTCTTAAACTAAGCCTGTATATACAACTTGTACTTGTTGGTTTTAATTATGTCCTCTATGGCCACAAAGAACAAATTTAATCTCTATTTGGCAGTCAAAAAAGTGCGGAACTGCTATTATGTCTTCCCCACTGTCTTCTCTTCTACATGTTAAAAAGACCCAGAAGAATAATTTATACTATAACATCAATATTGTAAAAACAGACAGTTTGAAGAGTTTTATATCCTGATGAAGAATGAAATAAGCAGAACTAGGAGAATAATTTATATAAAAACAACAACACTATAAAGAAAAACAACTTTGAAAGCTTTAAGAATGATGATAATATGACAACCGTCCATGATTTCAGAGAAACAAGGATGCAACATACTATTCCTCTTGGGATAGAAGGATGATGGATTTAGGGCATAGATTGGACTATACATATTTGTTGTATGTATGTGTGCATATATATCTATATAAATATCTCATACTGTTTTATCTACCCATATAAGTATATATATATATATATATATGTATATTGTTACATATACATATATGTGTGTGTATATGTGTATGTAGATATGTATGTGTGTTGTGTATACCAAGAGTAATTTAATTTGCTTCACAATATATATTTGTTAACAAGGAATTTTTTATTTTTTATTTTTCCCCCAATGGGTGGGAGATGAGAGGGAGATAAAATAGATTTCTGCTAATTAAAAAAAATTTTTTTTAATAGAGATATAAGAAAGGTGCTACAGATATGAAATGTTGCATATATTTTCAGCTGAGAACACTATTGTTAGGTTTTCTAAATTGTTTTACTTAGTTATAAGATATCTCTCACAGAGTAGGGATAAGCAGTAAATGTTTAAAAAAGTCAATAAAATTTAAATAAAACAGAATGTGGAAATTTATTACATAGAATGACACTAGGATCCCAGTTACTTCTCTGTCTTTTCTCTTATAAGGGTCCCAATACATGGCATTGGGATATAGTTCTGTACTTGCCTTTTTTCACAGTGACTCAGTCATTCTCTCACTCTCTCTGATACAGCCAATGAATCATTCTCATGCTAAACATGCTGCTGTCCAGTTCTCCAAATACTTAGCCTACTCATATGACAGCCCTGGCTCTCCAGCAGCCTTCTCCCATTCCACGTATGCTTGTCTTTAACAATTCAAATGGCCAAGACTAGCCTGAGGCTACCCTTTACCACTCTTTAATAAGTCCAGAGGATTGTGAGTAGCTATAGTCTCTTCAGCGTCTGGGGCATAGCCCCATATCCATTTCCCTCTCTCAACCCAAGTCCCAAGTGCTTGTCATCATTGCTTAGAACTAATTTGTATCCCCCTAATACACAGCATGATTCATGGTAAGAGGTGCAGGGGATACCAAGGTGGGAAAAGTCCCTGTCCTCAAGAAGTTTACATTCTACTGAGGGGACATAACATGTACATTTATACATATCAATTAAAAGAAGACAATTTGAGTAGGGAGAAAACACCATCAATTTGGGGTGATAAGGAACGCATCCTCATAGGAGATGACCTCTGAGCTGAGACTCAAACAGAGTTAGGAATTCTAACGGACAGACAATGCAAATAGTAGGCAATCAATAAATATCTATTTTAATAGTATTTTATTTTTTTTCCAATTCCAAAAGACACTTTTTAACATTCATTCTTTATAAAATTTTGAGTTCCAAATGTTCTCCCCCCCCACAAGCTCTTCCCTAAGATGGTAAGCAATTTCATAAAGGAATAAATATTTATTGATATTGCTAGTAGGTTCTCCTACATTTTTGCTAACCATGTGAACCATCTTAATCTCCTCAGGTTTTGAGAGGAAATATAGCATAGTGAATAAGGTGCTGGTCTTAGAACCAGGAAAACCTAGGTTTGAGTTTTACTGATACAGGCTGTCTGTGTGATCCAGAGCAAATCACTTAACCTATCAGTGCCTTAGGACAATTTCTAAGACTGTTCATCTAAATTGATTAACAGTTGTGGATCTTCCTTGGAAAGGGGAGTTTCTTTACTTTGGAATTCCTATTCTGATGAAATCATATGACAGGACAAAAGAACATAAAACAAAAAGAATCACCAAAGATATGTTTATTCAACTGAAAAAGGAAGTGGGTTGATTTGGTAAGGAGAGTACAGCTTTAGGACTGCACAAGTATACACAAAGAGCCCTAAGAAGACCTCCTGTTATCCACCCAAATCTACCTCCACTGTCTCTTCCCTCACCTCTCCCACTCTCTTACTCTGGACATAGTAATCAAAGTATCATTGCTTCTGGACAGGTCATATTATCTGAGATTGCCCTTTGGACCAACTGATCTTCCCTTTGAGTTTACTGATCAGTTTACTCCCTGGTCACCCCTCCTTCATATATACATATACACATACACACACACACACATACACACATATACATATACATATATATACACACACACATATATACATATATGTACACATATATATACACACATATATATACATATATATATATATAAATTTCAATTAAGAATTCTTTTTTTTCTCCCTTTTCCTTCTCTCTGCTCTAAGAAAGAAAACATAGAAAGAAAATAAGAAAGGAAAAGAGAGAAATTTTAAAAAAGAAAGAATCCTAGTATCACTTAACCACATTCAAGGAAAACATATTCCCATAATGATCATGTCCAAAAATTCATTTCTTATTCTGATATTAATCCATCGTCTCTAGGTCATGAGCTAGGTAGAATTCTAATCAGTCCTCTGGAATTGTAGAATTTCCCTCTAGTTAAGTGTAGGTTCCTTAAAGATAAGTCTTACTTTTTGAATTGAATTCCAAGTAATTAGTACTATTCCTGAGACAGAGTAAACATTTAATACGTTGATTTTATTAGATCAGTTTTATTAAATAATAGTTTTATTAAATGCATAGTAAGCATCCAATAACTTTTGATTTATTGATTCATTCTTCACATCATCTAGATTATTGATGGAGGATTTATGGAAAGATAAATCTTCTAAGAAGAATTTCACAGGATGAGAAGGCTTGGATGGGTTGTGATCTTCAGTGGTGAAGAGCGGACACATATCAATGAGACCACAGATCTACTGAGGTACAAGCATGAAAAAGGCTAGCTAGGTAATAAAAAAAGTTATAATATTTCTCTCCCATTTCTACAATAAAATTAAAGGATTATCTTTTAATATTACCCCTTTATGCATATGCCTTTGGCCTGGTATAATTCAACATTTTCATCTGGGGTTTCACGGTATAGCTGGCATGCTTAACAAATCTGTAGATCAGAGGGAGCTGGGAGGGCTAGATAAAACATTGGATGACAACATCAGAATACAAAGATATCTTGACAGGCTGAAACAATGGATTGAATCTAATAAGATGAAAGATAATAGGGATAAATTTAAATTCCTACCCTTGGATAAAATGAAAAATCAACTGCCCAAGTACATAATGGATGAAATGTGGTATGCTTTATAATCAACATTTAAACACACTTTAAGGTTTGCAAAGGGCTTCACCTATATTTTCTTATTTGAGCCTTGCAACAACCCTGTAAGGTAGGTATTATAGGTGTTATTCTCTTCATTTTTTTGTAGGAGAATTTGAGGCTCAAAGAGACAAGGCTACACAGCTGCAAAGCTAGGAAAATAGAGCTCAAACCCAGCTCTACCAGATCTTATCCTCTAGTATGGGGGAGACATTAGCCACAGCCCTAGTTAGAGCACATTTAGAGTACTGTACCGGTTTCTAAGTGCCACATTTTAAGGGTAACATTCACAAGCCTTAGGAGATACTGAGGAGGGTAAGGTTCCAGGACTCATACCATACCACATGGGGACCAGTCAAGATTTTTAGTTTGATCTAGAATAGAACTTCTTAATAGTCAGCATTGTCCAAAAATGGTATCACTGCCATCAGAGCCAGGACGACCTGGCTTTAAATCTTAGCAATGTGACTGGAGACAAGTAAACTTCTCTTAGCCTCAGTTTCCTAATCTGTAAAATAAGCACATAAAAATAGCCCTTACTTCAGAGGGTTGCTGTTAAGATCAAATAAGGTAACATGTGAAGTGTTGTGCAAACCTTAAAGAGCCATATCAATGCTGATTATAATAAGGGCTATGTTGTTGTTATTTGGTAAAGTAGTTTCATGGTTCAGGTGGGGTTGGACTGGATGACCACTTAGATCCTGCTGAATCTGAAGTTTCCAGAATTCAATTTTCAGAAAAATAACTTGGTTAGAGAGATAGGATTTCAAGTTGGAATGGGCCTTGGAGATCATTTTGGTCTAACTCCTTCAATTTACAGAAAGGTGATGTGAAATTGTCCAAGATCATGTGGATGGGGAGTCACAAGGAATCACTTTGAACTCAGATTCTCTGATTCTAGATCTGATAATTTTTCCATTATGACACACTCCTAGTCTAAAATCCCAGTTCTCTAGACATTGAAGAACAAGATTTTTGATTTAATAAGCTTAGAAGACAATGGGATTCAGCAAAAGGTTGCTCCAGAGAGGGCATGCCTGTGCTTATTAAAAGGCAGAGGTAGACTTGATTTAGAAGAAAAGATTGAGGGAAGGGAGGATTAGGGCAAATCCTGAAGAATGAATGACAGGATGCTAATCAATATGCATTCATTAAGTACTTTCTATCTGCCTTCTGTCTTTATCTTTGCTATACAAAGAAAAAAATGAAATAGTTCTTCCTCCCAAGACCTTATATTCCATTTTGGGAAGAGAGACAATAGTGTGGTGTATTGGAAAGAGCATTGGATTTGGAGTATCTGTGTTCAAATCTCACCTTTGCTGCTTACTACCTATGTGACCTTGGGCAAACCTAGATCTCAGTTTCCTCATCTGTAAAATAAGGAGAATGGTCTAGATGGATTCTTAGATCCCTTTCAAGTCTCAACTGATGTTTCCATGAGCATGTTTCCATGGACAGTTAGGTGGCACACTGGATAGAATGCCAGCTCTGGGTCAGGAGGACCTGAGTTTGAATATGACCTCAGACTTTTATTAGTTATTTGACCCTGGGCAAGTCGCTTAACCTTGTTTGCCTCAGTTTCCTCATCTGCAAAATGAGCTGGAGAAGGAAATGGCAAACGACTCCAGTATCTTTGCCAAGAAAACCCCAAATGGGGTCACAAAGAGTTTGACGCAACTAATTGACGAAACAATAATGTGCATGTATTACAATGTAAAATAGAATGTAATAAAAAGAGCACAGGAGGTGGGGTGACTGTTGGAATGGAGAAGAGATTCTTCCTTTTCTACAGGAGGGAAGGATCAGAGAATGGATATAGAAACAGAGCAACTTTGAGATGGAAAAGATAAAAGCTCTCAATTTTCACAGGAAAATAGAGGCAAAGGAAGGTCAGGTGGAGTGGAGAAAATAGGGGAGCACTGTTATGTGGAGCACGCTAGAGATCTGCAAGAAATGAATCAAAGTGCTGCTTACTTACCGTAGCAGCTGAATATAGCATATCAATAACATTATTCTTCTCTAAGGGGAAAAATACTGCACAAATTTATAGCATAGGAAACTTGGCATCACCCTAATAAGAATGTCTAGATTAAGGATTTTGTGCTCGTATTTCTTCTTCTTATGAAAGCTCATTCTAGGCACTTCCTTTCTCAGCTTCTGTCTCAGCCCCTCTCTGTGCACTCACTCATTTGGTGGTACTTGGCTTCTTATAATATTCACTTTTTAATATTTTATAATCACAGCTCCTCCCAGATACATGTTTCTCTTCCCTCAGGGAAAGTTCTGACTCCTAGGAACTTGGTTCAGACGCTACTTTACCTCTCTGTATCTTTGACACCAAGGATACTGTCTCGAAAGCCCTAACAATTAGATCTCCTATAAAATCCCATCATGCAGCAACTAAGCTGCACAATCATACTGAACAGTGGGCTCAAAGCCACCCAAATTAGACTTGTAAAGGCCCTGTGATGTTATAAAATACTGCCAGCAGTGATATCTCTGAAGAGATTGCCACTGAGTGCTGGGGATGATTCATTATTAACATTTATGCAGCTTAAAGCCAAGGTCTACCTTTAACCTAATGTATGCAAATGCCAGAATGCTGAGGATACTATTATTCATTAGATGTATTCTTGAGAGAAAGAAAAGGAAGAGACAGACAGAGAGAGAGAGACAGACAGAGAGACAGACAGACAGAGAGAGAGAGAGGGAGAGAGAAGAAATGAGCATAGGAAGGAGAGAGAAAAAGAAGGAAGGAAAGAAAATGAATAAGGAAGAAAAAGAAAAGAAAGAAAAAGGAGAAGGGACAATGAGATCAAGATGATGGTTTTAAAAAATTACCTAGTAGATTTTTTTCCCAGCTAGTTTATCTCACTAGAAAGAGGCAGCACATTGGTACCTTCCTTAGTAACACCCACTGTGATTGAAATATCCTAAAAATGATTTCGTTTTTTTCCCTTTATTTTATGCTTTCACTCTGTTTGCCTTCTCTTTCAGGCTGCTGCATGGAGGATAGCTGTAATTTTCTTCAGACTGGTTGAGCAGTAATGTCACATGTGAACTGTGCCTTGCTGCGGGGATCCAAATACGGATTGTACAGTTCCCCTCATAGACCTGACTTAGTTCAGCAATGGGAAATTGGACAAGTCAAATTATTATATTACTTTCCACAGGCTCTCGGTCAAACATGCCACGTCTCTGGTTCTGAACCATCTATGGCAGTGGCCCTGACCACAAATATCATTTCACTATAGTTCTGAGTGGCCTTTGCAGTGACCTGGCTGCTCTGTAGTATTCAACATCTGAGAAGCTGCATCATTTGCAGTTAGAACCTAGCCTGTAATTATTTTTTAAAAGCAAGATGCACATGAATCTGCCTGGCCAAAAAAAAGAGGGGGCATAATTGGGTAGTCAGTGGGGACTTCAATCATTTGGCTGTGTGCTGGAGCTCTCTCTCAATCAAAGGCAGAAGAAATCTTTATATCTCAATTTGCCTTAATAGTTTTTCCTTCTTTGAAAGATGGTAAAACCACTGGGGGTGGAGGGATACTATTGTTCTTGATTTGATGTTTGCCAACAGGGAGGAATCGGTTGCTAGGTTGGAAATGATGGAAATCTTGGAAGGTAGGAAGAGTAATTACTACATCTTAGAAATTATAATAGAAGAAAAGAAATATGAGGATAGTCTGATGGAGTACACCGATTAAGGGAATGCAGATCACCTTTGGATTAAGATGCTATAGGAAAAATTAAGACAGGAAGGATAGAAGCTTAAAAAAAGTGAAATTCTTAAGACACAATGAGAAATTATTCCAGTGAGCAGGAAATGAGGGAACTGTCTACCAAGAATGATGTGGATACATAAGGAACTCGCCTATTGAATTTAATTTTAAAAAGAAATATACAGAAGATGGAAGCAAGGTTAAGCAACAGATAATGAATACAAAACTCTGGCACATTTCTGTGCTATAAAGCTCAGCTGAGGAAAGCTAAGGACAACAGAAAGGATTTTAAAAGCTATATTGTAGAACAGAGAAGAATCAATGAATGAAATAATTCTAATATACAGGATTAATGCGATCATAACTGATGGAAGAGGGAAGGCAGATCTACTCCATTTTTATTTGATTTTGTTTTCTCTGCTAAAGAGAATGCTCTTTGGTCTGGAAAGAACAGAACAAAAGTAGTTGATAGAGAGGTGATACAGAAGATGAATAGGCACATCACGAGAAAGAACTAAGGTGCTATTGGGCAAGATAGGGTAATCTGGCCAAGATTAATTGCATCTTCAGGTGCTGAGAGAATATTCAGGTCTGTTTCACTGTTAGTCAATATTAAAATGTTATAAAGAATAGGAGAGGTACTATAGGACTGGCTCCAAATTAAAAACAAAAGAGAGGAGAATAACGGAGTGTGTAAACTTTAGGCCAAATGAGGTTGACTTCAATTCCTGGAAAAATTCTAGAATGTATTATTAAGCTAGGTGGCACAGTGCCTACAGCACTGGGCTTGAAGTCAGGAAGACTCATCCTTCTGAGTTTAAATCTGGCCTCAGATGCTTATTAGCTGTGTGACCCTGGACAAGTCACTTAATCCTGTTTGCCTCAATTCCTCATCTATAAAATGAGCTGGAGAAGGAAATGGCAAACCACTCCAGCATCTTTGCCAAGAAAACTCCACATGCGGTCACAAAGAGTTGGACATGGCTGAAACAACTGAATAACAACAAAAATAATTAAAGAAGAGATAGTGAGTTTCTAATTGTGGATTATTAGCAATCTGTATTTTAGCAAAGTATTTGACAAAAAGTTTCTTACTTTTTTTACAAAACTTAAAGGCTAGGCAACAATAACACAATTAGATGTATTCACAGGATGATAGATGTGGAACTGGGAGGGCCCTCCAAAGCTATTTGGTCCAACTCTACCATTTTATATATGAAGACATTGGCTCCCAGTTATAGTAAGTGACTTGCTCAAAGTCACACAGGTGGTAAGTATCAGAAGAAGGATTAGAATCTAAGTTCTTTGAATCCACAGCTTGGCCCTTCATACAGTACAATGCTGAAGAGTGCTCGTTAATATCTTCAATAACGTAGCCCAAATACCCCAGAATCATAGGATTTCAGCATTGGAAGGGAACTAAGAAACATTTTAGTCCAACCTATGCCACAAGAATTCTCTACAACATATGCTAAGAGTGAGTACCCAGCCTTTACTTGAAGACTTCCTGTGATGAGGAAACCATCATTTCTCTTCGACAGCCTTTCAAGTACTGTGAGATAATTATTTTGATTCTCCCTTCCCACCTCTTCCAATCTTCCCTTCTCTAGGTTTTTTTGTTGTTCAGTCATGTCAATTGTGACTGACTCTTCGGGACCCCATTTGGAGTTTCCTTGGTAAAGACTGATCTGTTTCTTTCTCCAGCTCATTTTACAGATAAGAAACTGAGGCAAACAGGGTTAAGTGACTTGCCTAGGGTCACATAGTCATTAAATGTCTGAGATGAGATTTGAACTCAGAAAGATGAGTCTTTGGGACTTTAGGGTCTGCACTTTACCACCTAGCTGCATTTTTTTTCCAGACTAAACATCCCCAATTTCTTAAAATAATTCTTGAATGGCATGATCCTGATGATGCTGTTTGCCCTCTTTGGGACACTCTCCAACTTAGCAGTGTCCTTTCTAATATGTGGTGTCCAGAACTAAAAACATAGATGCGATCTGCTGTGATCTGACTTATTCCTGAAAACTATACTTTTCTTAATGTACCCTTAGTTTGCACTAGCTTTTTTGGGCTTCCATAGGATACTACTTGATCCCGTTGAGCTCGTCCTTAAACTTCACTAAAATCTCTAAATCCTTTTCAGACAAACTTCTATGTAGTCATGACTCACCTTTCTCTCCCTCCCCTCTCTCCTTCCTCCCCACCCCCATTGTGTACCTAGGGAATTTATTTTTTGAACTCAAGTATTAGACTTTGCATTTATCCCTAATAAATTTCATCTTATTAGATTTAGCCCAAATGTTCTAGCTTCTTGAGATCTGTTGAAATTCTGATTCTGTTATCCAAAGTGTTACCTATTTCTCACAGATGCTTTTATTTGCAAATTTGATATACATGTTATTTATGCTTTTATCAAAGTCACTGGTCAGTGGTTAAACAACGAAGGGTAAAACACAGATCTATTGAATACTTCCATCCAAGGTGACAGGAAAGCATACATGATTATGCCTTAGTTCATGCTATTCCCCTCACTCTGAATCTGCCCCAGGGCATTTTCACTTCACCCATTCTTTTCCATCTTTTCCATTAGAATTGCATGAGAAACTTCATCAAATGCTTTCATCAGGCCGAGATTACTATGTATCTACAATTACATATTTACTAACCATGCTTTAATAATACAAGCTGCTTTATTTTTAAGTAAAAAAAAATACAGCATAGTAGATAGCTTTGATCTCACCCAAGGGGAAATTCTCAAAGTCTCTAGAGAGGAGAGCTGGAAATTAAGGCCATGTGGAGGAGTTAGTTTTCTCCTGTATGTCTACCTTACAAAGGCTTTTCTTTCTCTCCCTGGCATCTCTCCCCAAAGAGACTCTACAACCATATGTGTTCTCTCTTCAAACAGGAAGGAAAAAGTATATCTCTGCTTTCTGAAGCTCTAATGCCAACTCTGCCCCTCACATAGGCACGCACTGTCAAATTATCATTCTCTTCCAACGAGGAGTTTTATGTAAATATTCTAGGCTTGAAGCAAGGGATACAAGCTGTTCAACTTATCTCTCACTAAAAATACAGAGTGTAGTAGACAGAAAGCTGGCCTTTAGTCAGGAAGACCTCGGTTTGAGTTTTGCCTTTGATCCATACTGGCTGCGTGACCCTGGGTAAGTCAGTGCCTGATAAATAGTGCATACTCCAAAAATGCCTGTTGACTCACGGACTTGACTTAACCTCTCAGTGACCCTAGACAACTCTTTCAGTTTTGTTGGTGTTGTTGTTGTTTTTGGTAGAAAAGCTGCCAATCAGCATCAGTGGAGGGAGTTTCTTCACTTTAAGGAGTTCCTTAAAGAAATGAAATCATAGGTATGCATCAAAAAAAAAGTTAATGGAACCACAGGTAGTTTCCATTTCTTTTTCCTTTTTTTGGCTAGGCAATGTGGTTAAGTGATTTGCCCAGAGTTACACAGCTAGTAAGTGTCAAGTGTCTGAGGCCAGATTTGAACTCAGGTCCTCCCGACTCCAGCGGCTGTGCTCTATCCACTGCACCACCTAGCTTCCCTCTCATTTCTTTTTCCAAGATGAATATTCCAACAAGTTGTTTCATGCAGAGTTGTTACACACTGCCCCCCAACATACACACACATCAGATTTCCAGATGTACATTTTAATTTGTTATTCTACAAGGCCTGACAATGTATCCTTGCCAATCATGGACTACATTTCTATCTATCCACTAGAACAAGTTCAGTGGAGAATTTTCCCCAAATTCCCCAAATTTGATTCTTATTCTTTTTTTTTATGTCAAACCAAAAAATAAGCAACATCTTTAAAAAAAAATCACTATTTTGGCATCTTTCTTTTCAACAACACATCCCATGGCCACATGGGAATGGGGAGTAAGGGACAAATATGTCTCTCTCATCTGTGGTGAAAGGAATGAGATAAATTACCCAAGCCACCTGAAAACCTTACTAGGACTTCCTTTTTAAGGTGCCCCACAGAAACACATACTCTCGGTTTTGATAAGCATGTTAGTGAATGCCTAGTCCAACCACTGTATTTTACAGATGAGAAAACACAGTCCTGGGTTACTATTATAATTGAAGAGATAAGAGAGGAAGCCAGCGATGAAGACTAGAATTTCTTAGTCTAGCACCATGATTCCATGTTTAGAAACCCCTAAGACGTAGAAGTGTCAAAAAGGAGACAGGGGAATAGGAAAGAGAAAGGGTAGTATCAGGACTATGGTTAAATTTTAGCTTTAAGGCATATCAGTGTGTCTAGCTGAGTGAAATCACCCAAGTAAAGTTTAAATGATCAGTTTTTGGTTTGGCTTTTGGTGACAGGAAATTTTTTCCTGCAGGGCTTCAGATAAAACTAAAGGATTCTGCTGTGGAAGACTGGTAACATTTCACCTAACATTTAAAAGCATTGGCTTTGAACCAAATGGAAATGGGTGTTTGGATTTTCTCGGTGTACATCTTTGCCAGGCATGTGCTGCACTTCTATTCATTAGAACAGGTTCAGTGGAGGACTTTCCCCAAAGAATACCCTTGATTGGTGTTAGATCATTGGATTCTTATTCTATTTTTGTTTTATTTTGTTGTCAATCAAAATCTTGCTGAAAAATGCTAGCATGAAAATTATGCTTATAAGAAACCTTCTTTTAAACAAAACAATGCTTATGACATCCTTCTTTTCAACAATATGTCACTGGGATATTTCAGTAAATATGGTATCCATATAGGGGATACTCTGAGTTCATTGACATTAAGAGAGATGAAATACTTAGAAGCCATCAAGTTCAATTTGATTTTTTTTTTACTATAAAATGGCCATTTCTTGGGACTCTAACACACAGGAATTTTCATGGAAGGAAAGAATAACTAAAACAAAAAGCTAAATGAGAATGATTTTTCCTTAATCTGTGGAATGGTCTCCATGTACAGAGAGTTCCATAGGATAGAAGAAAATAGCTCAGTCAGGAAATAAATATCAGTGACTGAACTGTTCACACTCTGATACAATGATCTCACTACTGGGCACATATCCCTAAGTAGGTCAAAGATAGAAAAGAAGACTGTATATGCCAAAACAGTCATAGCAGCACTTATGGGAGCTAACAAAAGACTGGAAACAAAGTTGATGCCTATAAATTGGGGAGTGTGGGAACAAATCTATTTTACGAATGGAATTATGCAGCAAGAAGCGAAGAAAATGAGGAATTCAGAAAACACTGGAAGACTTGTATGAACTCATTGAAATATTACACAACTGTGTGAAAGAAAATAAAAAGAATGCTAGGAGGAGGCCATCTTTGAATAATTATAATGACCAGACTGAATCCCAGGGAACAAAGAAATGAATTTCTGTAATTCTAAGAGGGGTCGGTGGTGTGGAGGCAGAGTGCTATGTACACTGTCATATCTGCTATCTATATGCCACGTATGGATTGTCTTTTGCTATTTTTTCTTTGTTACGTGGGGGGGAGGTGAATGATGAAGTTGGGAGGGGAGCTATACCTAGAAATAATTGTGATTTTTTTAAAAAAAGCAGAGTTTTTAAAAAATTAAATAAATAACTATGAATCATAGTGTTTGGTGCATAGGATATGCTTTAAAATGATTGTTTATTGATTGATATGAAGCAAAGCTTTTAAACAGAGGAATATTCAGTGATTAATTTTCAGATGTTGATGTCAATGTGCGAACTCTTCATGACACAGTTGGAAGTTGAGGGGGAAAGAGGAGAACAA